GGTGACTACAGTATCGCCATTAGAGATTGGCAGCGAAGTAGACGGTGACTACAGTATCGCCATTAGAGATTGGGAGCGAAGTAGACGGTGACTACAGTATCGCCATTAGAGATTGGGAGCGAAGTAGACGGTGACTACAGTATCGCCATTAGAGATTGGCAGCGAAGTAGACGGTGACTACAGTATCGCCATTAGAGATTGGTTGCGAATTAGACGCTAACACAAACTGAAGGATAAAAGCAGGTGATGAGCCAACAAAATCTCAGAGAGTATCTAACTAGGATGAGATATTGAGAGTGTTGGAAATCCATTGCTGGCAATCCTCTATTATGGAGACATCCCTAACTAATGATTATCAGCAAATGTTTTATAAATTTACCAAACACAGGTCCATAATAGTTATCTTTCTACTAACCATCATTACTGGTGTACAGTCCAGATGACAGTTACCTATGCATATCCATACTTACAATTCATATTTCTGCGCCAGCCCACAGGTGCCTCTATGACGGCTGTAGTAGCGATTCTCCAGATCGATCTTGGTCTCTCCAATCAGATCATCGACACCGATCAGGTCCCAGTCAAATACTTGCACAATCAGTAACGAATCCATGGGAAACGTCGCTTCAAATTCGAAGCACCTGAGGAAATACAATATGTTTAATAAAAACTTTGACGTAGATAAAGCTTGGAGAGAATACTGTCCAGTCTGGAAAAAATATATTATAATGCGTATACATTGCTACTATTCCCCGGGGTAGCATTTTGTTATAGTTACATTGTCGAACATTTAATCTGACAGGTGGGAGGTCAAAACCTAGATGTAGTAAGTCATTAAACTAGTAATCTGAGAGAAAGGTTGATAATAGAGATGTTTATCTGTTGCCCAGTTATTAAAAAAAAAGGTTAAAGTTGCCTAGTCATTACAGATGATGCAAAATTAATGTATTTATTCCTTGCAGATGAAAGATTTATGGACATAACATAACCTTTGACCTGTTAAGATCTTGGTTGTGTATCGATGGAAGGACTAGCACATAAAACTCTCTACCTTTCGCTGTCTTCCGCTTGTTGAACTGGTGTATAGTAATTTAGTCCTGTCCATTTACTGACGTTGTCATTCTAAGATTTTCTTTGCCCCCTCTTCTTCGACGACCCCACCTCCATTTTTGTTTCTTTGTTGTTGTCATCGAATCGTGTCTCACCACGTTCCCGAACTAAACTATCTTGTGGCCGTTCACCACAGCCAGAAGAGGATCCTGACGTCCTCTAAATTTGTTTATTTTGTATCTGACATATTTGTTACTTTTGTATTCTAAATTGCTAATTCATAATTTTTTTCCTGTAGCATTTATGTTCGAAAACCTGAATTCTTCTTTCCATTTCCGCAGCTTGAGTCCAATTCTTCTATCCACGTAAGAAGATGGTTTGTATATACTGACCTTTACTGCTATGCTAATTTTCTGTTCAACATTGTATTCAGCAGCTGTATCAACACTTGCCCTGATCTTTTTGGTAGAATTGACATTGCTATATATGTGTGAGCAGAGATATTTAGGGATTTAAACTTCTTCTAACTGTTTCCCCCCTTTTTATATGTAAATTAGTAGCTATTTGATTGTCCTGGCTGTATACCAGTATCCCACTTTTCTCTGCATTAATTAAATGTCATGTTTATCAAAGGTTGTCTCTAATTTTGTAATGTTCTTCAAGTTCTGCTTCAGAACCAGCCATTAGATCGATGTCGTCAGTCAAACGTAAATTACAAAGTGGTCTTCTGTCGATGAATATAGATGTTTCATTGCTTTCTAGTGTTTCTATCAAATTCACGGACACGAGTCAGTTGTGAAGAGAAGACAGGCTCAGGTGTTTATCTCTTAACTATATTTCTCTATTTGATTTTTATGTTATTTAAGTTAATAAGGCGTCGTTTTCTAAATTTCCCTATCAAATTATCCAGTACTCTCTCACTGTGTCGACCACTACTTCCAACCTCTCCAGTCTGTCTTTCTATCCGTCATTTTCCATGCTATCTATTGTTATAGGGCGAGCAACTAATCACGATCATATCATGCGTGTAATACTATTCTTTGAATGTTGACACCCACGTAGTTAAGATAGGGATCTGTTTCATGAGATTCCAAACATTCTAGAACGTTTTCCTCTACCCATCCACACCTTTCCCCTGCTGTTGTCCGTAATATCATTTCCTATCAGTCATTGTTTTCAATGTTCAATCCAGGGTAAACAAGTAAAAACAGTCTCTTATCTTTTAAAAATTATTTTGCAAACCCAGTTTTTTTTTCTTTTCTATAAGTCATCTGGCACCCTGTGTGTTTTATTAATGTTACGAATGTCAAATTTGTTTGTGTGATCCCTTTTAGTCTTGGTCGCATTAATGCCTAGGTGGACTTGCGGCATCGACAGGAAGTCAAACACACAACTCGTTTTATAGACAGAAGTTCAAACTATCAACGTCAAAACCAGCAGTTACCTTCACTGTATTGTCTAGTTCCTCATGAAAAGAGACTTTTGGATGAATAAAATGACCCTTTTTAGTTTGCAACTTTCAGCACGATGCATATGGAGGGAATCACTGCAACTCTGATGTGATAGCAGACAACAGAGTAACCAGAGAATAATAGCCTCTGGTTCTCAGTCGGTACTGCGAATTTGATATAAGCGGATACCAGACATCAGCGAGTCAGCCTTACAGGGACTCACGTGAATATGCTGTCATGGATATGCAGGAGTGCGAGCACATGAAAGAGCTGATTTTCTGTCTACAAAAGCCATGGCTAGGGGAACACTTGTACAGGTCAAATGAGACACTCTGAAGTCGATTTATGAACGAATGCTAATAGAAGACTCGTAAACAACATGGAGACGAACGATGGAAAGTGACCTGAATGCGGCATCTTTGACATGGAAAACTGCACTGAAGATTGCACAGGACAGGAAAGCACGGACAGTCCTATCTGAAGCCTTATGTGCCACTAGGTATAAGGAGAACTGATGATGATGTAAGAATATATGAACGAGAAATTAAGTTTAGAAGGATAAACGTATAAAAGGAAGATACCGGTGTGTGTATAATCAGTGCGCTATGGTAACAGTTAGCATTCCCACCCTTAGACATTTTCTGTGGAAGATGGATTAGCTATGGAGCTTGCAGTTGTGTTTCTTTCTATTTTGTTGTGCCTTGCTTTCTACAGCTTGCAAATTCATATTTTGCCCTTGCTCCAAGTATCCACTGAAACACACAGGTTGTGATGGCTGTATCCATTGAAACACACAGGTTGTGATGGCTGAAAACACTGAAACACACAGGTTGTGATGGCTGTATCCACTGAAACACACAGGTTGTGATGGCTGTATCCACTGAAACACACAGGTTGTGATGGCTGAAAACACTGAAACACACAGGTTGTGATGGCTGAAAACACTGAAACACACAGGTTGTGATGGCTGAAAACACTAAGGCCATACGGAAAGACGTACAAAAACGTACACACACTCGGATTAGTGGATACAAATAGCTACACAGACAGATAAATAAACATACATAACAATATCTACACATTATTATTCAAACATCATTAAAAAAAAAATACACAGGGGAGCATGCACAACAGGGTCCATCGATCATCTGTAGAAACGTCTCTCGTCGTCAATTGTTTCGGCATATTATCTCCCTTGATAATCTTAGGTGGGTTCATAATGCCACGTCTCAGACATCCTCTGCTGCACTTTATAGGACTCACGGACAAGACGAAGTGGTTACATTGCAACAGGGATTGTGAGGTTTGGTGTTATACGTTGTCATTACGGTTGCAAATTATGCGCCTAACTTCACGACTAGAGTGACAAGCTAAGGCCGCTTCAGGCCTCTGGTGATCTCTGGGTTGTCATCAAGAGGACACTGTGTCTGGTCATTAGGTGCAATAAAACCTCACAAAGTCTCTACCCTTCGCTGTCTGTAGCGGATTTGAACCGTTTTCTGAATGCTTCTTCGTCTGCTAGGCACTTTTCAATGTCTTTCTTCTTATGCATGACGCCTGGCTGCGACTTCTCTTCTGTCCTGAACTCGCGGGCACAGTGAGTGTAAATTGTGTCACCAAACCGTGTTAGCTTGTCACCTAGCGACTTATCTCAAGTTGACCATTAATAATATCACATACAGTACCGCCCAGCTTGCACCATGACACTCTATCGCTTGTAGGTGGAAATTTGATCTTCGTCCGCACTTCGTCAGAGATCCGCAAATTTTGCGCCTCTGTGATAGATGTCTTGGGTCTCTCCTGGTGATTGGGGTTGAACCTGCCTGTCATCCCATAACGACTCATCAACTACAAGAGTAGCTTTACGCCTGTGCTTACTACAGGGCGCATTTACTCTCGCATTTCATCCCTCCGGCATGCGTTTTCAGACCATGCTCCAGCGCGAAGCTTCTACCACATGTACATATCCAGCCCGGTCGCTGGGCAGATGTCTTGGTCCGGGGACTGGCGGGGTCGTTGGCATCAATACAAATAGGTCATTTATTCTCCCTCCGTTTTAGAAGACCCAGAAGGCATATTTCGTTTTAGGTAGCTTTCGCGATCAGTTAATTATACTGAGTTAGAGGGAATCAGCCCGGACCGCAGTCGACTCTTCGTTGCCAGAGGAACAGTTTACACTCAGGCGCTGCCGGAGCGCCAGTCTTTCCAGGGCGTCAAAACGTCTATACCGATAGTTACCAATCTATCCTGGCCGATAGTTACCAGTCTATCCTGGCCGATAGTTACCAGTCTATCCTGGTGTTCTATGGACTAGCAAAATAAATGAATAAATAAAAAAGCGCGACGCAAATTTTGAAACTTTTTTTTTTTGGGTGGTAACGAATAACAAATACACATAGTATAAAATAAATAAGAGCAATATGTTATATCCCAAGATGTATAGCTTGTTGTTAAACAAACTTGTGCGCGTTCGTGAATGTGCACGGGCGTGTGAATCTGCGTGTGTTGCGACCAGTTATTTATGCAGGTATGAAGTATGTAAACCTACCACCCCAATACTCTAGCTAGACTGGCGCCATGTTTCAGAACACCTCGACACGCTTGACAGGGCAGTCATCATTGCAGGATAACAATTGGCAGGCTACTTGTAAGAAACTTGTACCCACTAAGTGGTTTAACTGATAGCCTCCCTTGCCGGTAAACAGTCTGAGTTGCGAAGACAGTAGTGTGAAAGCAGACACAGTTCTCTCCCCATGACTGGGCAGTGTAATCCTGTTAATCTCTGCATTTTTTGAGGTAACCTTGTCCGTCTGTTCACCCCTAGTTTCTACAGGTATTACTGTGTGCAGCTGACATCGCTTCGGTCAAAATTTTGTTGTTTTGCTATCAAGAAAAGGGTTAGTAATGCAGTAAACCACTAGGATGGGGTTGTTTTTTAAATTTGTTGCCTGCCCTAACACATCGGTCCAACCCATTCGTGCTTCGATGTAGTAACAATCTCAGTGGCTCCATGCTCAATGTACTAAGTAGTAGTTGACTGGCGTATCCTCTTTGTTTCTACATGCCTGTCCTCGTTAAATAAAAATTTCCAACTGGCGGTTCATTATTTTTGCTTCCTTTGTCTCAACGTCTCTGGAACGCAGCGCATTCAGCATTGCTGCCCTGACCATACTTCTTTCTCCAACACCTACAGCAGACACGTTTAGGTTGCCACGCCTTGTTGATTTTGTCTTTACACCTCGGTGGCTGCTGCTTCTTTATCCTCTTCTGGGTCACTGTCGTGAGTCTTACGGCGCAATCTATATCTGACACCAGCGATTTCAGTGTTGTAATGGAAAACTATAGCAGAAGGCATGGTACCAGGAAGGAGGGGCAGGGGCCGACCGACACGAAGATGGGCACAGGATATAAGTGACTCCTTGAGTATGAAGGTAAATGAGGCAGGAGAACTGGCGAGAGACCGAGTTTCTTTCAGGCAGACTGTGATGAGAGTGACGTTCTGCAAAGGACCTGCTACATGATGATGATGAAAGAAGACCTTCGCCTGCTCTGTCGCCTCTCCACTGCATACTTCTACAGTATTATTCTGCACAAGAGACGGTCGCCGCTATATTGTCCTAATACCTCTCATCGACACAAAGTGCTTACAACTGGATAGACTAGAGAGAGGTCTATAACAATAACAGCGGTCTTCTCCCTCTGTCTTCATGCCCTCCTCCACCTACTTCTCATTCTCCCCCTGCTTCTTGTTTTTCTCCTTCTCCTCCTCCTTCTCCTTCTTCTTCTTCTTCTTCTTCTTCTTCTTCTTCTTCTTCTTCTTCTTCTTCTTCTTCTTCTTCTTCTTCTTCTTCTTCTTCTTCTTCTCCTCCTCCTCCTCCTCCTTCTTCTCATCCCCTCCTTCATCTGCTCCTTCTTGTTTTACTACTGCTACTAAGAACACGGCCACCACCATAGCTCCTACCATCACCATCACCTCCATGAAAGTACTATGACTACTAATTAAAATAGAATACAGCTGCTACTTTTTAGCACTTCTCTTACCCCCCCCCCCCACACACACACACACAAATAATGTTGATTTACCTACCTAACATCCTCCTTTGTATTGCTTCCTGAATACATGGACAGTGTATTGTGGCTCTGACAGAGCATTTCCTCTTATTAAAAAAAAAAGCTAATAATGGTGGTGCATGTAGTTTAGTGGTTTAGTGTAACCGTGTTAGTTAATGATGCTTGTTTATCCACAGCCTTGCTGTTGATCTATTAAAAGCATGATTACAACTTGTTCACCCACCAACATAACTTCATTTTTTTTTAATCCATTTATGCTAAGCTATCTTACCCTCTTTATGGTGGCACTGGTGATTGTTGTAATCCTGCGTCAGTACAATAACCTATATCTAAGGTGCAGTAAAGCTTAACGTAAACGTAGGGAACCATAATTTTCTAGTGATACCAAACGAGGCAACACCAGCCCGGACTCCACCAGGTGGTCGAGTCGTATACGTACTTGCCAAAGACGGGATTGAGTTGCTTGGAAATGTAGTTCTCTTTGTCGTTTTGAGATTTGCATCCGAGTCGAATCACAAGATATGGATCAGCCTTGCCATTGATGTCAGCAGGGTGAAGGTCATTTGCCTGGGCAAAATTACAAGATAGTTTTTGTTAAAGGGAGTTGTCTATGTTTAAATGTGAGCCAAGTGAAACCATTTCTTAAATGTCAGTCACTGCCATGACGTACACTAATACTGTCTTGTGTATATTTATCGATCAGCACAAGCGTAAATAGCGGGCAAGGCAAGTAGACATGGCCGGTTGGGGGAGAGTTTCAAATAGCGCTGATTAAACTATAAACATATGCAACAACTATTTTGTTCATGTATGAATCAACGGTTTGTTATACATGTCTCCTGAAGGCTTGACTCGACAGGGACACGACAGGACGAGAAATCGGATGTCAGCCCAAAAAGAACTGATTTCGATTCTAGTGCAAGTATAATGGTTATAATTGGGGTGTTTGACTAACTGCGTTTGTCTGAACCTCCCTCCTTTCTGATCGGGCTGCTAGCTGAAAGACTTGACATCAAATGATTCAGTCAAGCCGTACCATAATGTGTCAGTTCTCCAGGACAAATCCCAGATATCTCGGTCGACCAGTAAGGAAGTTTTGATTGAGAGCATCAGTAACAGTAGACGCTGTTCCCAAAACAAGCGGCACAACTCAAAGGTTCCCAGGGACTGACGGTTGCCTACAACAGCTACACTGGTTGTTGTAGCTTGAATATTTGAATTCATTAACATGAAGGTAGGTGGGCAGTTGTACCCCACCAGGACATCACACAAGCGATAAACACCGGTGACACAAAGTGCCACCATGCGGATGATCATCACCCGTGGAGAGGTCCCGGAAACCTCGTTCAGCCTTTAGGCAATAAATTGGCCCGGCTATATTTAGTGCCCCTTGGCAAAAGCTGAGGTGGGGCTTCAAAATAACGAAAAATTGCATTTCCCAAGTGGACCATTGAATAGAATGTTTAAAATGTGACATTTACCGCAAGCGTTGATTGTGTCCTTTAGTTGTAATGTCGATACAAATATTCACGACAGAAAGAGCAACGCCATTATCGCTTACCGAGATGGCTTATGGTGCTTCAGACATAATGTCAGAGTAAATTATCACTTTATTTCTGAATGTATTGACAATTATTGCCAGGAAGTGGCTATATCACAGCTTTGAGTTTAGAGTCGCTAGTTCAAAATTTCTACGTGACAACTGTTGGAACAATGTTCTAAGGGAAGTAATTAAACAAAAACCTATAATGTTAGGATTGTCTTTGAGTAATTGCTCTTGTTACATTCTAGTTGCTAAACATCTAAAGCTGTAGCACAGTGATTAGATAGTTGCTTGCTGAAGTTTTTGAGTTCAAAATTTATAATATTACTTATAGGTATCCCCTTGTGGGATGCAATTTTTAGTTAATTTGAAGCCCCACCCTGGCTCGTGATCATCCGCACACTTTGTGTCACCTGATATTTATCGCTTGTGTGATCTCCTGGTTGGGTACAACTTACCTACCTACCTACCTACCTACCTACCTACCTACCTACCTACCTACCTACCTACCTAGCTACCTACCTACCTAGCTACCTACCTACCTACCTACCTACCTACCTACCTACCTACCTATTTGCAACGATATGTACAACGTCGTCTCAGTGTGGGACGCAATTTTTCGTTACATTGAAGCCTCACCCTCGCTGTTGCCAGCGCCGCAATATAGCCTAACGGTTGAACGCGGTTTTTAGGACCTCTCCACGGGTGATCCTTATCCGCATGGTGGCACTTTGTGTCACCGGTGTTTATCGCTCTATGTGATGTCCTGATGGAGTAAAATTTACTCACTTCGCAACGATAAGTATTTGTAAAATAATTGACCTAAAGCTTCTATTAGTTTAAAATTGGTTGAAGGAACAGTTCTGAAAAGTAAAAGCAGCAGCTTTGATGTCCACAAAATCCCTGATTGAGTACTAATTCGTGCATAAAGGTATTGGTAAAACAGTCTATTTCAGATACATTAAAATGGTGCTCCACTACCATTTACTTTTCTTTGCTGAAGCAGCATCACTACTGACAACGTGCAGGCTACTGTAAATCTTCAACACGAATTCCCAAAACACAAGAGTTTGTATTTAAAACATCGCGCTGATCGGTGACTCAACGAAATGCCTCCCTGCTGGGACTACAATTTCATTTACGTTTACTGAATCTTAAACAAGTTCATGTATAACAGTCTATAGAAAATAATTATTATTATAATGCTGACGGGAGTGAATTTTTTCCTCCATGGAAATCCCTACCTTAACAATGTACACTCGAACCAAAACCTTGACTGGTTCATTACTGGGTAGACCTTGGAAGAGTCCATAAGCTGCCTCCCCTCCAGTGATGACGCAATCTTCAATGTCTGATGGTAGCGGGATCTGGTAAATCTTCATGGAGCCCTGCAATGTCAACAGTCACGTGTGAGCTAAACAGAAACACATTTTACTCTGTAACACAGGGGCCGCTTTAGGGCAGTCGATAAGAGGCTCGCTTTCAAATGCAGCTGCGACTCACTGCACCACAGTCGTTATTCGAAACCGGGCGGTTCCCGGGGTTCACCCAGCCTCTAGGAAATGGGTACCAGAGTTGACACACTGGGGTAAATGGAGGAACATTGTTGTAGCTACAGAGTTACGTGCGGACAGCGAAACATGCAGGCAATTTCTAATCAGCTGTCCGTACTGGTGGCAGAGAACTTATGGATTATAACTGTGTGCAATGACGCTGGTTCACATCTCCCGACTTTACCTTTACTCTGTAACATGCAGAACAACATACGACTTCACTGGTATACCCACCCTAAGTGGCTAAGATGTTTAGTTCAATAAACCACTAGGTTGTGTCGGTGGGAGCGTCGCTACAGACAGTCATAGACTTGGACTAGACAACAGGTCACGATTAGACTTCAGAAGACAACTTGCGACATTACAGGTTAGTTTATAGACGTCAGTAGTTTGTATAATTATAATAGAAGAATATCACTATTGTCTACAAACTATAAGATACTATCACCGGTACTGCTTAACAGGCTAAAACCACGCGTTTAAGATATATTTAGTGATTAGCAGGCAGGTTTCCAACAGAGTTGATCAAAAATAGATATGACATTCTTCTTCATCTTTTTCTTCTTCTTCTTTTTCTTTCTTCTTCTTCTTCTTCTTCTTCTTCTTCTTCTTCTTCTTCTTCTTCTTCTTCTTCTTCTTTTTCTTTTTCTTCTTCTTCTTCTTCTTCTTCTTCTTCTTCTTCTTCTTCTTCTTCTTCTTCTTCTTCTTCTTCTTCTTCTTCTTCTCTTTTTTCTTCTTCTTCTCTTCTTCTTCTTCTTCTTCTTCTTCTTTTTCTTTCTTCTTCTTCTTCTTCTTCTTCTTCTTCTTCTTCTTCTTCTTCTTCTTCTTCTTCTTCTTCTTCTTCTTCTTCTTCTTCTTCTTCTTCTTCTTCTTCTTCTTCTTTGCGTTCACCAGCTGTAAACTCTGGTGGAAAGTTCTGGTTGTTCATCCACTTTTGGACTGTAGCTCCTTTTCCAGAACCTGAGTGTTTCGTGTGCATACGTTTCACAGATCTGACTCATTTGTATGCAGACTGCTGGTTCCTTGCCTCTCAGCTAGATGTACTCCGACTTCGAAGGAAGCTCCCAGTTAGTAGACTCTTACTACATGCTTTTTGGGTAGGCAGTTGGTCTGTTCCCCCCCCCCCCCCCCTCCATAATAAGGCCCTGGAACCCACAGATTCAGACATTCATATAACGGCAAATAGCAGAATAAAATTGGGAATATGGAGAAGATCTACAGGTAGTTTTTGTGGATTGTCAAAATGCATATGTGTTCATAGAAACAGCTTATAGAATGCTATAAAGGGCTTTGGAACACCAAATAACCAAACTATGTATGGAAGCAAGTTATGTTATAGTCACATGTGAAGGCAGAAAATCGGACCCTTCTAAAAAAAACATATGGATCGTGATGCTCTGTCCCCTCTCCTTTTCAACGTGTGATATTGAAAGAAGATTTTACTGTAGGAGAAACTACAAGAATACTTGGTTATGTGTATATCGTTGGAGAAAACAAAGTAGGAACACCACACACACAAAAACTGACTTTCTTAAATGAAGCAGCTCAGAAAACTGGACTAGTTATCAGTCAAGATAGGATACAATACATGATAATAACAAGACAGAACGGATAATAACTCCAGCCACACATAAATCAAAAATATGAAAATCAAACAGAAATATATAAGTACTCGAGTACAAACTACAACTATTCTAAAATATTTAGAGAAGAAATACAATTTAAAATACAATCTGGAAATAAAGTGATCTGTCCCCTTCAACATCTGCTAAAGTCAAATTCTCTAACTCGCAACACCAAGATCAAAATATATAAAACGTTGATGAGACCAGTTGTTTTAGATGACTCTAAAACCTGCATCACAGCTAAAATAGATGAAGCCTTATTAAATTTTTGTTTAACACGAATCTTTGGACCCATCAAAGATGCAAACAGCAAGGAATGAAGAGTGAGAAGCAACAATGCAATTCATAATCAGTTTAAGTAACCACTGATCACTGGCATCATTGGAGCTAATAGACTGAAATGGCTGGGACAAATTGAGATAATATCAGATGACAGAAAGGTAAAAACTGTATACACAAGAGAGATGAATGGGCCTAGACTATGAGGCAGACCAAGAAGACGATGGAAAAATAATATCCAGACAGGCCTACAGGCACTTGGGATCACCAACAGGAAAGAGAAGGCGACCCTGAGAGATGATTGGAGGCGGGTGATATCTGTAGCAGTAAAACTCAAGAGCTCAGAATGGGAAAAAAAAAATAGTTTGAATAGATAGACCCGACATACAAGTTTTTTGTAGTCGCATGTACTGAGCGTTATTTTCACTAAAAGCAACAATGTGAGTGAGTGTATGTGTGTGTCAGTGATTGTGTCAGTGTGTGTGTGTGTCGGTGTGTGTGTCAGTGTGTGTCACTGTGTGTCAGTGTGTGTCAGTGTGTGTCAGTGTGTGTGTGTCAGTGTGTGTGTCAGTGTGTGTGTCAGTGTGTGTGTCAGTGTGTGTCACTGTGTGTCAGTGTGTGTCTGTGTGTGTCAGTATGTGTCAGTGTGTGTGTGTCAGTGTGTGTGTCAGTGTGTCTACATTTGTTTTAACCTCAGACTGTATAAATGTTTTTTAAGAGTGCTCTGTTAGTTTATGTCAATACATAAGTCAGTGAAATAACTTTTGTTGGAAGTGCTCATGTATGTACTTACATACATGCGCACTTCACACATCAGTTATTTCACTGACTTATTTATTGACATAAACTAACAGAGCACCCTAAATGAACGTTTCTACAGTCTGAGGTTGTGTGTGTGTTTGTGTGGATGTGTGTCCATGTTTCTGTGTGTGGGCGCGCGCGGGTGCGTTTGCGAGTGTGCTGAGAAGAACGAAATCCAGTATGCATAGTCAGTAATCAACTCCACGACTAATGAGTTAGTAGGTAAATGAACTAGCCACTACACAATATACAATGATTTTTTTTTTCAACATTCCATATTAGTATCAAACCTCAGAAATAGACGGTCATGATTTTTTTAATTAAGGGGGGGGGGGGGGGAGGGTGTCACATTATGAGAAGAAGAAAACTGAAGCATATTATACCAATGGAAATATCTGAGAGACCGCGGAAGACAGATTCTTGACAACCGTCAGGGCATGGAGAGTTGTCAACACTTGAATTGACACACGCAGTTGCAGATCCTAGATTGTGGAGAGGGATGATCGCCCCCGCCAGTCGACAAGCACTTGATTAACTTTCTGAGATAACTGGGAATATATACAGAGTGAGCTGTTACATTTACCAACCTTGAACTTGCCAACGACCCTGTTCTCATCCGTCTCATGGTTGCCTGTATTCTTGCCCCTGTACAGCTGGAACGTGTGCAGCCAATCCCGGAATCCTTCAAACTGCACCTGGTTCTCCAGCTCAGAGGAGTAGATCTGCATACAACACAACCGCTATAGACTTTTCCATGAACAGCATCTTTTCTTTACTCACAAATAGACACAGGATGCATTCTTAGGGGTCAAAATCTTGGAAAATGGGAATCGTCACAGGCCAGAGGTCACAGCCCCAACATAGACAAGTCATTTTTACAATTGTCAGGTTATCCACGGGTCACTTGCTATTCCACTGTCAGTCAAATTTTGTGACCCAGGAGCCGCCAGTTAAAAAGCCCTGATTTACTTGAAAACAAAGTCATAAGTAAAGTACTCATTTTACACCATTACCCTACTGTAGATATGGGGCTAGACCCATGTTTTATACCATAAAAACTTATATTTTATCTGTGATGTCATCATTACGCGGCCTGCCTTTTCTTTCTGTGACATTTCCTTGTACACATTTTAAGATGAGTCGACCTAGAGGCAAATGTTTTTTTTTTTTTTTTAAATCAGCCATGACTGCGAATTCGAAACCAAAACTTCAGGTTAATCAGTCAAACGTCTGACAGCAAAATATGCCAAGTTAGCAATGGAGAAACAGTGCTTTCATTTTGTAACTATAGATTCATACAACAAATCAACTCATGGCACACGGGTAGTAGCCCATAAGTATGAAGGTTTGAACAACGGACCAACATCATTGCTGAAGTGTAGTAACCCATAAGTGCTCCTTTGTACTTCTAACTCAGTTTGAGTCCGAAGAATCTTATCGCAGTGCACAAACTCGGTAGCACCGACGAGGTTCCTGAAAATACTTTGAGTACATTTTTAAACTCCAAATGGTGCCTGGACTGCGCTGTTAGCAACTCTTTACGATTTTCACTTGCCAATGGAACAATACGCACGGGCGTCCGATCTTACTACCCAGAGACCAGCAAAAATTACAAAAGGTCCACGTAAAAAATTCCCAGCGTTCACCGTAACCTTCAGCACTCGAGGCGGACGCCATGCCACAAGACCACTTAGCACGTCCCCCCCCCCCCCCCACCCCGAAACTAAAGAGAAAGCAACAAGCTAATTTCAGGCAACATTATTAGTGAGCGCCAGTGTTGGTCTATATTTAGGTGCCTCCGCTATAAGCTGTCAGCTTGGGGCCAGCACTGTGAAACAGATGCCTTGTAAGCATTTTATTAAGTAATTTTCATGAATGAGATCATGTTCATAAAAAATGTTTATACCATAAACCTAATATATGGCCCAGTACTAGATCAGAAAGATGTTTACATTAGTGTAACACACACAAACAAATCATGTAGACAGGTTGAAGGAAAAGAAAGACATACAGTTAGAACATGGTTTGACCAACGTTTGTATCAATGAACTAAACGTAATGAATACTTAACTACAGAAATGAGAGGATACAATCATCCAAACAGTCATTCATGTGATGGAAAAAGACCTACCAGTACTTCTTGAAGTTTAGTAAAGATGTTAACTTACGATCAGTTCTGAGACATTGCTTGGAACCTCGTCCTTCTTCTTGTGTGGTTTCGATGCCCTCTGCTTGGGAAACCCAGATACCTTGTTGGCCGCTCTCATTATTTTGTCTCTGTCTGCCACCTTCTTTGACTCTTTCTCCAATCTCCTTCCTTGTTTGATTTCAACATCTGCAGTAACACAGAGATGAGAATAATAATTCTTTTTTTTTTTTTTAAATTAGTTTCTACAGAAACGACGAGAACACAGTGAGAAGCGAAAATGATATTCATAATAAGTTTAAATCACCACTGATCACCTGCCTCATGTAGGCCAATAGACTGAAATGGATGGGACACACAGACTGAATGGCTGATCACAGAAAGGCCTAAAACTGGGAACACACCAGAGTTAAATGAGATTAGACCACCAGGCAGGCTAAGAAGATTGTGGAGAGATAATATTCAGGTAGAACTACAAGCCCTTAGAGTTACCAGCTCGAAAGAGAAGGCCAATCACTGAGACGAATTAAGACAGGTCATATCCGCAGCTATGAACACCAAGGGCTTGGAATTCTGAAAAAGTAACAAGGTGACTGGCGAAGTAATACGGTGACTGGCTAAGTAAAACGGTGACTGGCGAAGTAACACGGTGAATGGCCAAGTAAAATGGTGACTTGCTAAGTAACACGGTGACTGACGAAGTAACAGAGTGACTGGCGAAGTAATACGGTGACTGGCTAAGTAATACGGTGACTGGTGAAGTAACAAGGTAGCATAGTAACTGGTGAAGTAGCACAGTTAGTAGCGAAGTAACATAGTGACTGGCTAAGTAACACGGTGAATGGCGGAGTAACACGGTGAATGGCGGAGTAACACGGTGACTGGCGAAGTAACACAGTGACTAGCAAAGGAACATGATGACTAGCACATCAATAATACATTAATCTCTGCAGCAGTAGAAGAATTTGCTGCTCAAGTGCAAATCACAGCAGACGAATGTTTCTCTGTTTCTTGTTGTCCGCTTTTTCTGTCATTAGTCTGCCCGGAGAGCAAACAATGTTTTCTCCAGGAAGATAGCTGAAGACAGGATACATTTGCAATATGTCACAGAAAGACGGGTTATTTCGCCATGTGCATTCTTCGAGTTGGATGGTTCTTCTCTTTGAAGAAATACATTTGTAGACTACATGTTTAGGAAGAATCTTCTAAGTTCTCTTCGCGCTCACAGGCTGTAAACTCACTCGAAAGGTTCTGGTTGTTCGTCCACTTCTGGACTTTAGTTTTGTTTTATAACTTGCCTTTTGCTTATACATCCATTGTACAGATTTGGTTTATTTGTTTGCAGACTGTTGGCTCCTTGTCTCTCAGGCAAATAGACTCGGACATTGAAGGAAACCCCTACTAAAAATACTCCTACGACGTGTTTGTTACGGAGACAGTGGATCTATTTACCCCTCTCCCCTCCATCTATCGGGCTCTTAAACCCACATGGAGAGGATGAATCCTAATAAAAGGGTTCCTGTCTAGTGTTAGAATGGACTCGTACGGGCATGGGACATCTGTTATATGTCCTAATTCACAGGTTTACTCTGTCTCTTGCTGTATCTTGTAGTTTCTGTTATTTTCCCTCTAGGTTCCTAGAAACTAATCTTCGCTGTGCGATCATTACGTCAGTTCTTGTGAAATTCTAGTCGCATGTGTTCAGGGATATTCCCGTCTGACATGGCAGTGTCTTAAGGGGTTGAGTAAATTTTGCGTTTAATGTGAAGAATGAATGTGACGTCACTGGCTTGCTGTTTTGTTTACTAATTCTAATTTTAGGTATTGTTCATTAACAAATACGCCAACTGCAGCCTCGAAGTACAACATGTAAATTGGAAAAGTCCATTTTTGCAAAAATGTCGGCTCGTTGGGTGCGTAGGTGACATTGACGGTAGGCAATGTATAGTGTTAGGAGTAGAAATAATCTTGCAAATAATTTTGGCATACACAATTTTCTGCTTTTCTTTCCAGGCAGTTTCACTGATGCAAATTTGTTGTTTCTTCTAGCAGTTTTAACAAGGCAGTGGCTCTATGGCCTACTTTAGGAGATCTCAGACCTCTATAGGATTTGTTGAAGAGAGTAGTTTGCACATCCTTTATAGGTCAAAATACAATATAATGCCTCGTAGGTAATGTATTAAATTAATCATGCACAGCTTGCCAATTTAGAACTAGTTTAAATAGGTATAGCATTGGGTCGCTTTGTTTCGTTTATTTTGCTATAAATTTTCATCCATAACTAGAGACGCGATCGCGTCCCAAAAACGCAAATCGAATTGACCGTTATTGAGAAATTATTTTCTGTGCTCTTTACGTGAAAGTTTAAATCGGAACAATTATTAGGAGTTATTAGAGAGATGCTAGGCTTTGACCTGAGATGGTTTCGATAAATCGATTTTTTTTCGGCAGCACGCAGTGAATTAACGGTAAGTAATTTCGTAAATAAGTTCTTAATTAGCCAGATAACCGCAATTTGTGCTGTATTTTTTTTAATTCTGCATTAACTTTTATATAAGTATGGGAAATTTCACAAAGATTGGCAATAGCGCAGCTGTTTAAAAAAAAAATTGTTTAGTGGCATCACTGTTTTCGCTTTAAATCTAATAACGGTAAGTAATTTCGTAAATATCTTATTAATTAGCCGGATTACCGCAATTTGTGGTGTATTTTTGAATTCTACTTTAATTTTTATATAAGTATGGGAAATTTCACAAAGATTGGCAATAGCACAGATGTTTAAAAAAAATCGTTTAGTGGCATCACTGTTTTTGCTTTAAATCCAAAATTTTTACACTAGTAGACAGTTTTCCCGCTTTATAATTAACTTAAAATAATTATTAAATTAGCTAACGTTATTTTAATAATTTTTTTTTTAAATCAACAACCATTTTAGCATTTTTTTATTATTTAGAGCTCTGCGTATTTTCTGTTGGATATATTTTTTCCTGATCACCCCCAAATCCCAAAAATTAATTTCGGCCATCATTGCGCATTTTCTAAAATGATTCCTTAGTAATTAACTTCAGATACTTAGTAAATTAATAATATTAAGTGAGCTACTTTTTAAACATCTACAACTCTGTAGTTTTTTTTTTTTTTTTTTTTAATGCGTCTGTTATTATTTAGAATCCACGAAATTTTCTGTCGGAATTGGTAAATCTAAGTGGTCGAGAAACAACAGCAGCGCTGACCGCGTTCCTGTCCAACAGGCCTGGCAGTACTTGGGCTTTCCCCCAAGAACTTAGTTTTTATACGACACCTTGGGTGAAGATTTTGGAATTTTTTTTTTTTTTAAACATACTAATCCTTATATAAAAGTGGGTAAATGTTTCATTTCGTAGCTATAAAATTAACAATAAAATATGTACTATTTATTATTTATTTTTTTGGCTCATATATTGTTTGAGTTTTTGGTCAGCTTAGCTTCGGGTTTGACAAAAATCCCATTGGCAACCCTCCCATGCTTGGCTGTCCGCGTGTGGCTGCTATAGATCTATTTCTTATATTCAATGCTGGGTGGACATGGGAGCCAAGGTCATTTTTTAAAGAAAAGAAAATCCAGCCTGACCTGATTCCCAGAAATGAACACACCTGTTGTGTTTTCCCTGTTGTTAACACTGTCACCGACCCATTATGAAAACAGGCCGTGTACTACCAGTGGGCTTATGTTTTCTTCTACCATACAGAACGGAGAGTTGGGGAGGGGGAGTAGAAGATTGAGAGAAAGTTGAGAAAGAGAGGGAGCAGGAGGAGGAGAGAGGAAGAAAAAAAAAAGAGACTAAGAAAAGAAAGCCGACACTGAGACATGTGGAAAAAGAAAGAAAAGGAAAAAGAAAGAAAGATGAGGAGAGATACCAGGGGAAGAATGTAGCAGGAAGGGGGTGCGGCCACCCCGGTATCATCACTGTGGAGGGGGGGGGGTGCGACTACCCCGGGTGTCATTACTGTGCGGAGATACGACCACCCCGGGTGACATCGCTCTTGCGGGGGGTGGGGGGGGGAGAGGGGGAGGGTCTGATATTTGTTAATTAGGTCCCGTCAACTGACATTGGCACATTTATTTGATCTTTATGTTCGCCTTGCCAGGACACACAATATGATATGTTTTAAGAAAGGCTCGTTGGCAGACAACTGTAAATGTATAAGGTTTTTGATGAAAAATAATCAGCATGCGGACATTCTCATATGTTAAATAGGTGCATATCGTAGTGTATGTCATTGAGGCATGCATAAACCGTTAGGTCTCACTGTCCCGATTCTAGCAATATGTGGTTTGCTAGGGATTCGTTCAGAAACAAAAACGTTATGGCCGTAAAATGCAAACATTGAGTCATTTCATCTTAATGTGTCGCAACCGGGAATCCATGTTTTATGCATTTCCGTATAATTTTTCTGTGGTGGTATCCGCCAGTAAAATGTTAATATCTCCGCGTAGAATCGACTTACAGGCTTAAATAAGGTACCACTGGATTTGTAATTTTAATCCTTATCTAGCTGTCATGATTTCGTAGGTAAAAACCCAAAACATAAAACTTCATTAGCACAGTCTACTGTTCTTTCTGTAGCCTTTTTATATCACAGTCTACCGTTCTGTCTGAAGCCTCTGTCTATCATAGTCTACTGTTCTATCTGAAACCCTTGTCTATTACAGTCTACCGTTCTTTCTAAAGCCTATGTCTATCACAGACTACTGTTTTTTCTGAAACCTTTGTGTATCACAGTCTACCGTTCATTCTGAAGCCTTTGTCTATCACAGTCTACTGTTATGTCTAAAGCCTCTGTCTATCCCAGTCTACCGTTCTATGTGAAGTCTCTGTCTCTCCCACTCTACAGTTCTGTCTGAAGCCTCTGTCTATCACAGTCTACAGTTCTGTCTGAAGCCTCTGTCTATCACAGTCTACAGTTCTATATGAAGCCTCTATCACAGTCTACAGTTCTATTTGAAACCTCAGTCTATCACAGTCTACCGTTCTATATGAAGAATCTGTCAATCACAGTGTACTGTTCTATCTGAAGCTCCTGTCTATGTATGTAGATCACGCTTTTATTTATGGAGCATCAAACTACATGTAGGTAGCAAGAATGTCTTGTATAGAGCACCAGTCTTTATTGTTAGAGACCTCAAACGTGTAGCACAATCAGTCTACATGTCTAGAGCCCTATTCTTCATGTACGGAGCACCAAACCGCATACATTATGTTTCAGACTTCAAATATTAAGCACTTAATTCGTTGTCTTCACTTTAAATAAAACCATCATTCTCTTTATAGCATCAGCCTTTAAGCACCTACCTTCATGTCCATCCAGGCTGTGTATGGCCCCGTACCCAGCACTGGAAGTCAGGAAAGACTTGCGATGTTGTTGAAGTTGGTCTGGATGGATCTTGCCCTCGGCCTGAAGCAGCTCAACGTTAAACACATCATCCTTGTTCCCATGTTCCTATCGACAATATGAAATGTTTCTTTTGGATCATCCAGATGTCGAGTATAGAAATGTGATATATATATATATAAATATTGTTAAATGAACTACCGCAGAGCAGTCGCTAGACACATGCCTGACGATATTAGGGACTTGGGTTCAAATTCGTATCAATGTACACATTTCTGATAAACCTGCGCTACCAAATCCACATAACCTAAAATGTGTATGTCTTAGAAAGCAAAAGCGGTCACATGAAAATTGTAGGTTGTGGAGAGGCATGATCTACAACAGTTTGCAATACATTTGACAATGTTGATTGTTTATTTGGGGAAATTTTCAAGGGATCCAGATGCTTTATGAGGTGAGGGGATGAAAGCAATTTTCTGAAAAGGATATGAAAACATGATGATGATAATCAAATTAACATTGAGAAAGGGAAGGAGATCTCAGTCAGTTGGTAGGTACCGTGTAAAAGACCATTACGTGTGCTTGACAAGATTTCGCAAAGGAGCCTTAGCATCTGAATGCCTTTAGACAATTTTTACTAGCTCAGTGACGACCATTAAGTTTTCATTAGCATAAAGATGTAATATCACACAGAAACTATCAACTAAAAAAAGGTCGTATGGACGGTTCGACTATTATATCATTGCCAAAACCAAAGCAAATCTGTCTGCTCTCAAACGATCTGCAAAAAACGATCAATCTTGATATGTCAGGAGTTTGAAACAGTGTTTAAAACGCTTGAAACTGTTTTTGTGGGGTTGTCAAGCAGGTGTCACAGTTATCTTACAGTTTAGGCCCCGTGGCACTGGCAGTCATGTTTGTCCACTGTCTTCTGACATACTGTAAATATTTCTGAAACATATCTTTTTTCACGCAGTGATGCCAAGCGGTCCAGCACTGCAATTCATCTGCTGTCTTCTCCATCTGTCCGGCTGTGACGACTTACTTCAGTTGTTCCCTCCTCATGTTGTGACCAACTCGCTTATGTAATCTGTGCTCTTGTAAGTTTGTTTGTTTAATAACATTTTCATTGTGCTTTTTAAAAATTAGTCCATAATGTTCGTTTCATTCTTGTATAAAACCACACTTCTGCAGCTTGCATATAATTTGTAAGTTGTGTCCAACACTGTCAATGTAAATAAACAGCTACAAACTAATGTGTCCACAAGAAGTTTATTGGTGTCCATGATATCATTTAGTAGAGACTAACCACTTACTTTAGTCATACTATCTATGGAAGCGAAGTACTTGCTCCACCAATCCTTAGAGTTCTTGTCAGGCTCTTCTTCGTCCACCGACTCTTTTTTCTTTTTCTTGTTTTCAGAATTTTTCTGTTCTTTGACCGTGGAGCCCTGTACGAAAGACACACATAATCAGACTGCAGTCCCATCTGGCTGGCATAAACGCCACAGTTTTACACCATGTTAGCTAAGTAAAATCGGACTAAGATGCAATAAAGTCAATCAAGTTATTAACTAAATGGCACCAATTGTGAAATACAAGTACATGAATATGAACACTAAAAGAACACTGTTAATTACAGTTTTCTTGCAACGGAATTAAAATGTTTGTTTTGTGTTTATAGAGTTTTCGCTTATGTTAGTGTACAACATAACATAGAATGTGAAACATATAAGTCTTCTTTCATGCTTATGCCAGTTGTGAAAAACCAACTCACCGAGTTGATGGTGATGTACTGCTCCCTGCCAATGAGCGGGTAGTGCTCGTCCACGTTGATTGAGACATCTTCAGATTTGGACGACACAGGTGACCCTGACCTGCTTATCTTGGAATCTTCAATTGCATTTACTATGGAAGAAAGCGTCATCACTTAGTTTAACAATGACAAGTACTGCTGAAGATAGTATAATCAAACAGTTAGATGGTCGCATTGACTGTAGAAGCTAGGAGAATCAGCCATATAGACAACAGCATTTACAATGGAAGACGGTGAAATTAGCCACAGCTACAATATAATGCTCATAAAACTGAGTCAGAAATAATGACCTATACTAGCCAGCAAATTCGCTGATTTCCATCTTAGAGCAGGTGAAGCTCTGAACCCAAGTCAATGATAAAGGTTCGCCTCAATGCTTCAATCAATCAGGTGCCGTCTCCACAATGAAGGTTGGCTGCAATGGATCTCCAACAAGCCCTGTCTCTTGCTCTTGATGTATACTCACTCATACTGCTGTTCGTCCTTCTCTTGATGTTATCCTCCCACTTGTAACGCTGTCTGCCTTTTGCTCGCCTACCTTGAACCTTTCCCTCTAGGATGATCTTTACAATACAGTTATGTCTTTTTATGTGGTCAAAATATTTCACTTGTCTCTTTTTTATTTCACTTAGCAACTCTCTTTTCATTCCCAATTTCCTCAGTATTTCTGTATTTGATAGCTTTTGTTTCCATGAAATACGACCTAATCTTCTGTATATCCACATCTCCAAAGAATTGATGCGATTTTCCAGTTGTTTGTTCATTGTCCATGTCTCTGTGACATACAGTAAGGTTGAGAATACATAACATTTGACAATTCCTATTTTTAATGTATTGCTTATTTCTCTTGATGTCAGTAACTTTTGCATGTTCTTGAAAATGTTTTTGGCCATCCCTATTCTTTTCTTGACTTCTGTTTCACTTCTGCCGTCACATGTTATTACTTGTCCAAGATATAAGAAATTTTTAACTTGTTCCAATTTCACACCGTTCACTGTGATATTCATTGTTAGCTGATTATTTTATTTGCTAAATATCATGGTTTTTGTCTTTTTCAAATTAATATCTAATCCAAATTCTGCACTCCTTCTGTTTACTTGCTCCACTAGGTCTTGCAACTCCTGCTCACTCTCTGCTAGCAATACTGTGTCGTCAGCATATTTCAGATTGTTTATTATTCTACCATTGATGTGCAGTCCTGGTAATTCTACAATTTCTTTAAAAATGGTTTCTGTACATAAGTTAAAAAGGCTAGGCGACAGCACACATCCTTGTCTTACTCCTCTCTTGATCTCTATCTGGGGTGAGCAGATGTTGTCATATATTACTGTTGCTTCTTGCTCCCAGTATAAGTTTCCAATAAGTGATATCCTTTCCATCTAGTCCTATGTTTTGAAGAGCTGCAATTAGTTGTTCATGTTGCACTCTGTCGAAAGCTTTTTTGTAATCTATAAAACATGCATAAATATTTTTCTAAACTTCTATATATTTTTCAGTCAGCATCTTTAGACGAATTATGGCCTCTCGAGTACCACTGTTTTTACGGAATCCAAATTGCTCTTCGGAAACTTCTTTCTCTATTTTATCTTGAATTCTTGCTTGTATTATCTTCAAGAGTAACTTAGTTACGTGACTCATTAGGCTAATAGTTCTGTAATCTTCACAATCAACAGCTTTTGATTTCTTGGGTAGTGTGATAAAAACAGATGTTTTCATGTCCCTGGGAATGTACCCATAGTTATAAATGTCATTGCATATTTCTGTCATAGTATCAATTCCAAAAGTAGATAATGATTTTAACATTTCTGCAGTTATGTTGTCTGGATCTGCAGCTTTTCCCTGCTTCATCTATTTAATGGCTTTCTCTACTTCAGTCTTTAATATGTTTGGTCCCTCTTGAATATTATGGATTGGCGGTTTGTCACCTCTGTTGTCCCAAAACAGGTCTTCTGTGTATTCAGTCCATCTTTTTATTATATCTTTCTTATCAACAATAATTTTTGCATCCTTCCCCCTAATACAACCATTTCTTGTTAAATGTTTTTCCTTGTTTGTAAGTTTTCTTATGTTTTGCATGTATTTCCTTGGTTCTGTGTTTTATTTCAAGATCCTCTATTTCTTTGCATTTTAACTGAATCCATATTTCCTTAGCAGTTCTACACATATTTCGTTTGATCTTGATCAATATAATTCTGTCATTGTGAGCCCAGAACCCGCTAATAAACTTCTCTGAATTTCTTTTTATCAAGAATCCTACTTTATGTTCATGATGTTCTCCTCCAGAATTAATAAATATGTAATCATCTCTCTTTAGGCAGCTAGCTTCTGCCCATCTTGTTTCTGATACTCCCAAAATATCTAAATTCATATTCTTTGCCTCAGAAATTAAACAGTCAAACAGTTAAACAGTCAAACAGTCAAACAGTTATTCAGTTAAACAGTCAAACAGTTAAACAGTCAAACAATCAAACAGTCAAACAGTTAAACAGTTGATGCTTACTGGAGCTCAGAACTTTCGTTTTATCAGGCAAATGTTTGTTCATTGCTCTTCCTTCGCTTCCATACTTCAGTGTGCAAATTCAGTGATCTCCGGCATTATACACAGATCAAGGCATTATACACAGATCAAGGAATCAAGAACTGATATTACAGTACTCTGGGAATTTCTGTTTGGTGGATTTACAATGTTTGTTTTGTTCTTATAGTGTTTTCACCTATGTTCATGTAGGACATAACATAGAATATGAATCGTAGAAGACTTAAAAGATATTAAACTGACTTACTGATGACCGTTTTCTGAGGAGTATTTTTGGCTTGTCTAGCTGTTGGGATGAACATAAACTTGTGGATGTTGCTGATGACATGTGTTCCAACTAAAGTGAAGCGACCGAAACTGCGACAATCCACACACCGGATGGCAATTGGAGGACAATACAGCTCGTTCTCTGGAAGTTCCTGCAGAGAGAGGAAGCATCAGTGAGACTAGCGTAACATGTGTACACGCTGTTCAATAAATTGTCCTGTGTATTCATCTGGTTTTGGAAAGTATGCTTTGTCAGGCTGATTTTGCGGCGGTGGTGTGTTTCCATATTAGGTCCTGAAATAGTAGTCTCTAGTAGTTACACTGTGTAATATGTCGGGGTGTATTCTTGCTAGGATGGCAGGTCGCTATACGTGATTCGTTGGTCCCGTGGCATATTGAAACTTAATGTACATGTTAAATATGTTTCGGCTGTTGCCATTCTTGAGGAAATCTCGCTGAGCGTATGGTGTCATTATCATATTTTCTTGT